AACCCTCACATGGGGACTGACCAGTCATCTGCGGACACTTAGTGATAATTAATGGCAATGCAAACTAAAAACTCCTTGGGCTTTTGAAGAAATAACAAAGGATAATGACCATTCTAAAGTTGGAAGCAAAGAGGATATGGACATCCTTGTTCTTCTGCGAGTAATAAATGAGAAAGGGGTGCTTTATTTGTCATCACTGTCATTTTCTAAGGCAGTGGTTTCAAAATATGATCTTCATACCAGCACTATCACCCAGCAGCTTACTAGAAATGTCCATTCTCAAGTCCGACCCTAGTCCTACTAACTCAGGAAGCCTAGCAATCTTTGAGTCTAATAAGCCCTCCAGGAGATTCTGGGGGACCCTGAAGTCTGAGAGTTGTATTAAAGTTAGTAACTCAAAGTCATGGAGGTTGGTCTGTGAGCCCACAATGGAAATGGTTACTAGATTAACCTTCTAGTTCCATTTTCCTGAAAACCTAATAAAGGGGGAATGTTCTCTTACAGGCAAGGTAGCTTATAGTAAAAATGACCTCAGTTGGTAAATTGTATCTGGATGAGGAGAACTGGAAATAAACTATAAACACCTCATGGAAAGCCAGTTTTGAGCTTCTGAGTGCATGGTTCTTGTAAATAGCTATGCCCTTTCCAGGACTTAAGGGGCTATCACAAAAGATACTGGTTTTTATATGGAACTTGAGACATCTAAGTCAGGATAGTTCCCACAATACATCATTTGACTTGTTCCCTTGTACTTGAACTGTGACTTGGCAGCAAAGCATGGCAGGCAGAGAACGGTCCCTGGATTAAATAAGGACTCACACCTGATGCTGTTGCACTTTCCTATCAGAAGATACTACTGTTATTACTTTGTACGGTCATACTCATTTATATTTACTCTTAATATTTATCCTTTCTGTTGCTCTCTGCTCTTTCCTGTTTCCAGCCAGGATAGTTTTCTTTCTGCCCGAAGAAATTCCTTTAGTGATTTTTAGTGCAAGTCTGTTGGTAACATCTTTCAGTTTCTGGCGGTCTAAAATCTTTATTTAACCTTCATTTTTAAAAACAGGTATAATTTACATAGAGAGAAATGCTCAGATCTTAAGTAAAACATTCACTTTTGACTACTAAAGACACGGAAAATTTCCAACACTCTAGAAAGTCCTTTCAAGTTGTTTCCCAGTCAACCCTTTCCTCCACAAAGCAACCAGTGATCTGATTTCTAACACCGTAGGTGAGTTTTCCTGTTCTCGAATTTTATGTAGTTGGGAATCATATACTATGCACGTTTTTGTGTCCGATTTCTTTTATTAGCATAGTATTTTTGAGATTCATCAATATGGATGTTGGATCTTTCTTGCTGAATCCATTAGTATAATTAGTATCCATTGTGTGAATACACCATTGCTCATCCATTCTTCTATTGATTGGCACCTCACTGTTTTTTTGGCTATTATGAATAAATCTGCTGTGAGCATTTTTTAACAAGTATTTTGTGGACATGTATTTTCATGTCTCTTTGATAAATATCTACCAGTAAAATTCCTGTATCATATATGCTTAACTTCTAATTGACAACCAAACTTTTCCAAAATATCTGTACTGTTACACTTCCACTGCCAACACATGAGAGTTCTGGTTGCTCTATAGCATCTCCAACATTTGCCATTACCAATCTTTTTCTTTTAGCTCTTCTAATGCTAGTTAGTGCTTCCTGCTTCAAAGTCTATTTTTTTTTTTTTTTTAAAGATGTTATTTATTTGACAGAGAGAGACACGGCGAGAGAGGGAACACAAGCAGGGGGAGTGGGAGAGGGAGAAGCAGGCTTCCCGTGGAGCAGGGAGCCCGATGCGGGGCTCGATCCCAGGACCCTGGGATCATGACGCGAGCTGAAGGCAGACGCTTAACGACTGAGCCACGTAGGTGCCCCAAAGTCTATTTTTTTCTGATGAGAGTATCGCCCTGTCACCTTTTTTTAATTGTTTGAATGGTATATTATTTTCCATCTTCATACTTTCAATACTTCTGTACCTGATATTTAAAGTGTTTCTCTTATAAGCAGCATATAGTTGAATTTAAAAAATCCATTCTATACTAAATGCATAAATTATACAACTTTTTCTTTTACCTAACTACTGATATGCTTGGGATCTATACTTCCTATTTTACCATTTGTGTTTTATTTTCATGTGCCTTTTCCTTTCCTGACTTTCTTTAGATTAATCAAATGTTTTATATTATTCCATTTTCCTTCTGTTAAATTACATTTTAAAACCATTGTTAGTAGTTAGCCTAGAGCTTAAAACTGTATTCTTACTTATCACAGTCCCATGCAAATTATTACTTTAGTACTTGGCTGATACCAATTAAACCTTAAAACTTTTAAACTCCATTTACTTCCCTCTCATCATCTGTTATTGTTACCATGAATTTTAGTGATACGTAAAAGTGCAGCGCCTCAGGGTCCTGCAGGTATGATTTTGTACAGCTACTGTTCATTCACATTTGTCTTCCTGGCATTCTTCAGTCCCTCTTGCATGTCAATATTTCTATCTGGGATATTTTCCTGAGAACCTTAATTAATTATTGTATCAGTGCAGGCCCACTGGTGCCAGATTCTCTGAATTTTTGTTTCTTTGAACTCATCTTTATTTCACCCTAATATTTGAAGGACAGGTTTGCTGGTATAAAATTCTGGGCTTGCAGTTTTTTTCTTCTGGCTTTAAAGTTATTGTTACACTGGCCTCTGGTTTCTATCATCTCTGTTGAGATGCTGTCAGTCCCGCTGCTCCTCTGGAGGGACCCACGGTGCGTTAAAGATGGGCCATGTGTTCTCTGTCATGACTAGCAGACGCAGGACGTTTGCCCTGCCTCTGGCTTTGAGCAGGCGTGCGGGCACTCGCTTGGACAGAGTGGTGCCGCTGCAGTTCTGGCTACGCATAGGCTCTCAGAGGCCTGTGTGCTTCTGCTTCCCCCTTGTGGAGCCCCGAGCCACCATGGAGAAAGGGCCAGCTACCCTGCTGGAGAGACTCCTGAGACAGAGCTTCCCAGCTGTGCCCCAGCTATTCCAGCCACTCCAGCGGATGCATCAGACGTGCGAGTGAAAGCTTCTTTGGTGGCTAGTCCGAGACGAGTCTCTACATGTCTGCAGTAGCATGGACGACTCCACGTGAGACCAGAAGAAATGCCCAGCTGAGTCTAGCTCAGACTGCACAATCTTGAGCAAATAACGGTTTTCTCTGAAGCCAGTAAATTCTGGGGTGGTTTCTGAGGCAGAAGTGGATAGCTGAAAAACTGTTTGGTATCCAGAATGGAGTGCTGCCATAATAGAAACTTAGAACCTGTGGTGTTCTAGGACTGAGTTGAATACAACTGCTGAGCATCAGTGAGACTATTAACGGAGGCTGGACAAGCACGGAGGAAATCACTGTTGGAGGCTGGAGAAGGGGCAGGCTTACCTATTGGCAAAACAAATGGTGAGGCTGTATCATGGAATACAGCAAAAATACCTAACCACGCTGTGGATCTGGCTAGGAAGACTTCCAAGAAGAATGCTGAAAGTGACAAAGGGTTTTTGAAAAATCCTCTATAGTAGGGTATTAAGAGAGAGAGAATTTAAACAAGAAACTGTGCAGTTTTCAAGCAGAATTTAGAAAAAATGCCTGTAAGCTGGGACTTGCCAGGTTAGAAAACGAAAGTTTTTCAACTACCAGCTTCTCCAATCAGCATGAGGTTTTAAAGTAAAAAAAAAAAAAAAAAAAAAAAAAAAAAAAATCCAGAATGTTACCAGTAAAACCATGGCCTCGGGGTCAAGCTCAAATCGGAAGCATGGCAGTAGGACCCTTTTGTTACTCCCGCCTCAGAAGGAGGTAGATGTAAGCCTCATAAGGCTCTTTCAGACAAAAAACATCTAAAAATCTTAAGGGTATTTACACCCTGGACTCACATTCAAGGTAGACAGGGGCCTTCTTGAAGAGATTTGGGGGGTAGGTTCTGTCTGGAGTGACTTATAATTTGAAGGTTTACAAAGTCTTTTAAAGGGGTGGTGCAGCTTAGACTACAAGGGAGAGACAGGTGGGAAGCAAGATGAGTGAGCTCTTCAACGGCCAACCCAGGCCTTTCTTACAGAAAAGGAAAGACTACTCAGAGAGAAGGGTCAGGAGCAGAGAAGCAGATTAGGGAACCAAGCCCAGGAAACCAAAATGGGCCATAATCAAGGAATATTCCTTGAAATGCAAGTCATCATGGGAACTGGTGACATATGGCCAGACAGGGTTCAGAATCGACAGGGAACAGTGACTGCTAAGTCCTTCCCGTTTCCTCTCTTTAAAACTGCCATGACTTCCCTATTCCTGCCATACTGTCGTGTCGTGCTAGAAGCCGAGTTGATTCTCTCAATCACTAGGTTATAGTACCGCCTTAACATTACATGGTAATAAAGTGGAAAGACACCTAACCATAAAGTAATTAATTTTAGTTTTACAAAACCCCCTCTCTACATAAATATCACACAGAAACAGATGAACAGTCTTAGAAACTCTGTTCTATGTTCTCTAGGCTCTATGAAAATGCAGTTTTACAGATATTTTGTTTCACCATTTCAAGAGAAGAAGATATTTAAAGTTGTGTTTCCCATCCACAATCTGAAATGCCAACTACTCTTCTCCACCAGAAGGACACCTGACTTATGTCATATACTGTGATTCCATGGTTGCCAGGACCCCCATCTCCATGTACCCACACTGGAGTAAAGAAGACAAAACTGATGAGGTAGGTTTCACCATGGAAGGTAAGCAAAGCCGCCACAAAGAGTACTACTAACTGAGTGATGGAAAAAGGAATGGAAAAGTGATGGAAACTTTCAGTGATGGGTTGTTTCATGTCCTCCCTTTAAGCTGCTGCGTAACTCACGGAAGAGGTTAGAGCCACTTCGTGGCAAATCATCTGGGAAAGTTAGAAGGTGGACGAACAGTAGTTTCCAGCTTTCCTACAGGGTGACTTACCTTTTCCAAAACTTTGGCAATTCGTGTGCCAATTTGTTCGAGTGACTGCTGTGGATATTGGTCTTTGCCAAGATTCTGCAGTACCTGGTGCAGGGAAAGATGGCAGGTGAGAGCAACGAAAGGAGCAGGATCTAGGTGACGCTGCTGATGCTGAGTTGGACACTAGAGCCCAAAAGCAAACGGCGGCTCTGGGGTACATGCTGCGGTCCTGCTGGTCGGGCACTTTGTGCAAGATGTGTGGAAGCCTTTATAGTGTCCCTTCCATCCCCTTCCACTTAACAAAAACTACAGACATGTAAAACACATTCATTACAGCAACATTATAAAACAGAGTAAATACAGAAAATTAAACCTATCTGTAATCTTGTCACCTAGATGCAACCACTGCTAATATCTTTATACTGATCTTTCAGGTATTTTTCTGAAATAATATGTATACACACATATTACTTCTCTCACAGAATATGGGATCACACTGCATATTGTCACCTGTATTTTCACATAATATGAAGATTTCTTCATGCCAATAAATGTATCTCTACTACATTTTTCTTGAGGGCTCCCACTGTATACTATCTTATATCTATACAATATTTATTTAACAAATCTCTATTCTTGGACATTTGTGGTATGTTTCTCCAATTGTTCTTCTTGGTATACCGTTTGCTAGGTATATGTCAAGTCTGTTCACCTTCCTTGCCTTCTTAAGAATGCCAACAGGAAAATAAGCTGCCCTAAATAATTCTTACAAGAGTCTCTGTCTGATGGCAAGCTGAATGCTACCTACCTTGAGGAGTGAATCAGAATTAAACTTTCCTGGCCATTAAAAGAAAAGCATAAACTCAATCCCAGGGCCTGAAAGAAATCAGGCCTAGCCTAAAGTCACCAAGATGACAGCCAGCTGAAAAAAGACAAAAAAATATGGCTGGCCACTGGGCTTTCTGCTATCAGCTGCATCATCACTGTGGTGCTAACAACTATAGACAGGCTGAATAAAGCTGAGCACTCACCTCTGTTAACTGACTCTCACCCGTGTAGTGAAGGCTGGCCCGGTTGGAGACCCCATGCAAGTGGTCCAGGGTGTGCATGCTCGTGGGGAGATTGCCGTTGCAAAGAGGCTCCATCGCTGGTTGCTGTATTGGAGTGGCAAAGTCGATGTGTTCTGTGATGCTGAAAAATGGAGATTGCCACATTAGCCATGGAAAACCTGAGTGGGTAGGGAGCAAGAGTATTAATAATCAGCTGATCGTAACTTCACTATGTTACTAGGACTGTCTGAAGCCACAGACTCACAGACTGAAGAGACCTCAGAAGTGATCTAGTCTGATCTCTCATTTTACAGGTGCAAGGATCCAGGGACTGGCAATACCTGTTTGTTGAATGTATGAGCAGAGATCATACCCCAGGTCAAAGGAGCAGTGCTGGAATCTGAGTCCTGAACTCAGTGATTTCCTGGTCCACTCAAGCTGCCTCCTTTCTATGCACCATGGTGTCTGGTTTGGTCACTGCCATTGGCCACTTTTTCTCACTGGAGAAGTTTTGAACCTGGCAGGTTTTATTCTAGGATTTCTTTTTTCAGGGAAAAATTTCTTTTTCAGTGATAAATACCCACACGTGGTTCCTATCTTTTATTTTCCCTTTATGCACAGAAGCCCACCCCACAGAAAAAGTGACCTCAAGTTTAAACAGTACATTTTAAACAGATGTAGCTAGTCAATATATCTATGCATAAGATGTTAACTCCCTTTTGTAGTCCCAAAGTGGTCATTTTCCTGCTATATGCAGGCTAAATGTTATACGCTATCATATATGCTGATATGGCAAACTGGCATGGTCAAATTTTATTTCTAACTATTTAAAGCTTTCATATATGTTAGGCAAACATTCATTCATTCTTTATTCAGAGCCTACTACATGTCACACACCAGACCTATAATAACTAACAAGACATACCCAATCCCTGCTGTTATGGTGCCTGTGGTCTTGTGAGTGACTGAGTTATTACACATGTTATAAAAGAGGAAAACAAGGTACAACGTCAGTACACTATGGGGGGTGGTATATATCTCCCCCTGCTGATGGAGGAAGGGGGTGGTTAGTGAAGGATTCCCTGAGAAGTAAGATTTAAGTCAAGACCAGAAGGATGAGTGTGAACAAACCAGGTGGGAAAAAGGTGGTGAGAACATCACCGCACGCAAAGGGACACCACTGGTGTGAAGGCCCCAACAGGAGGGAGGGTGGTGAGGATGGAAAGACACGTAGCAGCAGATCATGAAGGGCTTTGTGGACCATGGTAAAGAGCAATAAGAAGTTATTAGAGCATTTTAAGAATTATTTAACTTGTATTTGAGGAAGGAGTCTGAGTACTGTAGGGAGAAGGGGCAGAATAGAGTCAAGAGTGGATAAAGCATGCGGCCCAGCTAGGAGGCTACTGAGTGAATGGAAATGGAGATGATGGGGATCTGGTTTAAGGGGGCAGCAATGGAGACAAAGAAAAGCCGATGGCTTTGAAAAATACTCAGAGGATGGAAGGGGTAAGAATGGGTAACAGACCAGATCTGAGTATTTAAGGGAAAGGGATCATTAAGGATGACTCCCAGGTTTCTGGCCAAAGCTCTGCTAGAGCTATCTACTAAGAATAAGAAACGGGGGTGCCTGGGTGGCTCAGTCGTTAAGCATCTGCCTTTAGCTCAGGTCATGATCCCAGGGTCCTGGGATCGAGCCCCCTACATCCAGCTCCTGGCTCAGCGGGGAGCCTGCTTCTCCCTCTGCCTCTCCCCCTACTCGTGCTCTCTATCTCTGTATCTTGAATGAATAAATAAAATCTTAAAAAAATATTAAAAAAAAAAAGAAACAGAAAACACACAGAACAATGATTTTTTGGAAGGATAGTAGACAAGAAAATTATGAGTTTGGTTTTCCTGAGCTTGAGGTGTCCCAGAGGTATTGAGGCAGGGAGGCCAGGTAGGTAACCGGACAGATGGGTTGAGGAATTTGAAGAAAAATCTGACCTGGAGATTTGAATTTGAGAGCTGTCAATATATTGGTGGTGACAGACGTTCTGGGAGTACATCAGTCTGACTAAGAGTGATTCTAAGATAAGAAGGCTGAGAGGTAAATCTTGGGGAACTCCAACACTTAAAGGGTAGAAAAGGAGCCAGCAAAAGAGAATGAGTATCCAGGGAGGAAAAAGTTATCAGAAGGGCAACCTTGCTCAGCTTGTGTCTTGGTGGGTGTTTGTAAATATGGATATGTTCTGGCTCCCTTTTTAAGTACACAATGTTAGTGAGAAACCCAAAAGAGGGATCCAGTCTTCAACTCTAAGTAAGTTACACACTTCTGGAGAGCTTACAAAGTGTGGGGGAAGGCACTAAGAAGGTAAGGCACATTCGCTGTTTCAGTACAATGGGCTGTGCCCACCTGTGGCCTGTGGTCAGCAATGGTCATCCTCGGAACCACCAAGCCTAAAAAGGCCGATTCTTCTAATAGCTGCTGACAAAGAAGGGCATCCCTGAAGTCAGCGGAGGCCCAACGGGTTCACTGGAACACAAAGGCCATGAAGGAGGGAGAGGTTCAAGATACTCACTCAATGTTTTTTGAAGAAACTGCAAGCCAGGTACTCACGATGGCAGTCAGCTCTACCCAGCGGAGTTTGAGGCACTCGTCTGGACTGGGCCATCCCAGACTCTGGTAGTCACGCTTTTTTCCTAGAAGGAAAGTATGTCATCAATGGACATAACTGCAAAGGAACAGAACCCACAGTGTCTTAGGTGCTGGTGATTACTTCACCCAGGCTGGTGTGTTTGGAGGTTCCCGTCATTCTTCTAGTCTTTAGGATTTTTACCATCTAGAGAATTAAACTCTTGTCATTCACAACAAAGGCAGTAAGATTATCTGAGTAAAGTCTTAGACTCAAAGACAGATGATGAAGTAAAAATAAATGAGTCCTTTGGATTTAAAAGTGATCAACATAAGATAAGAGCTAAGATATTCTTCAATGTTAACATCTTACCAAATTTCATTTTTACCCCTCTCCATTTTGATTTTATAAAGACAACTCCAACTTAGGAGAAGCATTTATGGCTAAAGCAAGGTTTCTCATCCTGGCAGTACGGACATCGTGGGCTGGAGGATGCTTTGTTGTGGGGGCTGTCCTGTGCATTGGAGGATGTGTAGCAGCACCCCTGGCTTCTACCGCATAGAACCAGTAGCACCCTCCCCCAGATGTGACAACCAAAGTGTGCCCTGGGAAGACAAAATCACTCCTGGTAGAGAACCACTGTTGTAGAGAAAAGCAGCAGATGGGGAATAATGGTGATAATGAAAGGTTATCATTTATGTCCAGAGCACTTACTGTGTGTTCAGGTCCTGTGCTAAGGGCTTTACATCCAGACTCATTTCTCAGACTGAAAAAATCTCTCTTCTCAGAGAGATCAAGTGACTTGCCCAAGGTCACCTGGCTAGTATATGGCAGAGCCAGGATCCAGATCCAGGTCTGAGTCTAACAAGTATGCTTCTAATCACCATGCTATTTAAAGCTATATTGGGCTTTTAAGGCTCTGTTAATGGACATCCTTCACAGGTACTACCTTTTGTGTATAGGCCCTTCACTTAGATTGAGTCCCCAAGAAAAGAACAGAACTAAGTCATGTCTGGGAAGGGGTCTTCTGGAGGACTTACAATAGAATGAATGGACAGGAAGGAGAACTTTGGTTCTGTGTGACTTTTTTTATCATGTAGGAATTTACCAATAACAGAAAACTGTTTGAGGTATAAGCAGGGCTTTAGATTTAAATAAAATAGAAAAGAACAGTTTGGAAGAGTTTCAAATAAACCCTGTTTACTTTTTATTTTATTATTTTATTTTTTTAAGATTTTATTTATTTATCTGACAGAGAGAGACACAGCAAAAGAGGGAACACAAGCAGGGGGAGTGGGAGAGAGAGAAGCAGACTCCCCACCGAGCAGAGAGACTGCGGGGCTCAATCCCAGGACCCTGGGATCATGACCTGAGCCAAAGGTAGACACTTAACGACTGAGCCACCCAGGCGCCCCAAATAAACCCTGTTTAAATGAATAACTGAAAGAATTAAACATAAGTTTAACAATAAAGCTTATTTTTCTATTATGTTTAAAGAAATTCACTTGAAAAACATTTATTGAGCAATTATCATAAGGGCCTGGGAACTGTGTTGAGACACTAGGGATACAGAGGGGAATAATACAGAAGGGGCCTGCCCTTGAGTTCACAGTCCTGTGAGGAAGGTAAACACAGATCCTAGGATACAACAGGATGAGTGCCAGAGTGAAAGTATAGGACAACTGCACGGAGGTGAGAGCAACTAATTCTGCCTGAAGGTACTAAGGAAGGGAAGGCACGTAGAGTCTGAAGTTTAAGGACGAGTGATCTTTTAGCACTGCTGAGGTGGCAGGGGGCATTCCAGGCAGAGGGAACAGCATGTGCAAAGGCAAGGGGTAAAATAAAAGCACAGCTAACTGAGAAAAATAACAGCATGAAGGCTAGAGATGGGCTGGCCGCTTGTACCCCACACGAGGGAGTCTGGACTTCCTGCCGTAGGCCGTGGGGAGCCTCTGAGCCCACATCGCCCCATCTTGTTCACAGAGGAATATCCTAAGAGATTCCATTACATGCTTTGTTGAAATCTAGTTACACTGTATTTATGGCACTTCTCTGGTCTTCCAGTCTGGTAGCCCTCGCCAAAAAAGGAAATGAAATTAGTTATGCATTATTAGTTTTACTAATTCTTAGTAAATCTACAGTGGTCCTTACTGATCTCCACTCTTCCCCATGGGCTCACAATCTATCTGTTTTATAATTTGCTTTAGAATTTCGTCAGGATTTATCATGAAGCTTATCTCTTGGGAGTGAAGAGAATCCAGATTTATTTGAAAACCAGGATACTGAACCTCTCTGGCCACCTGTCATCTCTTCCAAGCCTTAGAACTTTTCATGTTAGTGACAGTAAGTAGTTCCCTGATGTCACCTACAAGTACATTCAGTGCCCTCCATGGGCCCACCCACTTGAATCCACTTAAAACCACTTAAGTGCTTTTCTAGAATCTCAAACCATACCAAGCTTTAAATTTCACTTTTACAAGAAATTTTTAGTTTTTTGTTTGTAAAAGTAATATAGACTTATTATAAATTATTTAGAAAATGGAAAAGCATGTAGAAGAAAATAAAAAAACCACACATATTCCTATCAGTACCCAGAGATGACCACTTACATTTTGGTATATTCTCTTCTATACTTGTTTCTATGTACTTGTTTATTTTAGCTTCTTTCATCAAATCTAAGCGGTCATAAACTGTAAAGTGTACATTATTTTATATGGTATAAGAAAGAAAAATACTGCAAATTATTATGTAAAATATCATCAGTTGTAAGATGTATCTCAATTGTAGAGATATGGAAATGTGAACAAGTGTAATCATAATACAGTATATTTACTATTTTACAAAAACTGAAGTATTCTACCTGCTATTTTATAAACTGCTTTTGTTCACTTACTAAATTACAAGCGTCTTGGCAGCACAGTACATAGCATGGACATTCTGTAATTTATTTAGGCAATTACCAACATTTAGGTGGTTTACAATTTTTTATTATGATAAGCGACCCCATGATCAATCTTTGCACTTCTGTCTTTGGCACCTACAAGATGATTTACCTAGGGTAAATTATTGGAAGTAAAATTGTTGGTATATTTTTAAATTTTCTGATATATATGGTCAGACGATCCCAAAATTCATCTCATTAACTCTGTGTATTGCACATTTAAAGACAGTCTGAGAAGCAAAAATGGCATGTTGCTGTTTGTTTGCCTATCTTTGATTGCTAGTGAGGCTGAACATTTTGTCGCATGTTCAGTGGCCAATTGTACGAGTGTATTTGGCAAACGGTCTCTGTACTTGCACATATCCTACTGAAATGCTGTATTTTTCATACTGATTTGTCGGTGTTCTTATTTTTTTTAAAGATTTTATTTATTCGAGAGAGAAAGAAAAAGAGCGTGCTAGCAGGAGGGGAGGGGCAGAGGGAGAGGGAGAAGCAGACTCCCTGCTGATCGGGAAGCCCACGTGGGGCTCGATCCCAGGACCCTGAGATCATGACCTGAGCCGAAGGCAGGCACTCAACTGACTGAGCCACCCAGGTGTCCCTGTAGGTGTTCTTTAAAAGATACTGATAATCAGTGCTTATCACATAGTCTGTAAAAATATAAATATTCTTCAAAAATACTTTGTTTCAGTCCTTTGCCCTTCTATTTTATGGTGTTTTCTGGTGCCAGAATTTTTCTTTTTCTCTCTGCCTTAGAAAGTCCTTTTCCACCTGGAAAGTATATAAATATTCATCTAAATTTTTATAATTTCATTACATTTACTATTTAATGGAACTTTCATTTCCATAATGATATTTTATATTTTGAATACCCTTTTCCTTGCTACAGAAGACAGACCTAGTAGAGGAAGTGTTGCTTTCTTTCTGGAACCTGTTAACACACGATGTCACCCTTAAACAGTAAAGCTACTGCATGCAGTCAACTCGTCATGACAAAATGTCCTTTTTGGTGCCCTTTGTATTTTTCACAAGTAACACTTCCCTCTGGGATTTAGCCAAACTGACCCCATTCTTTATATTTTATTATGTGCACCCTGCTTTCAGCTTTGGTAAGTACACCAAATTAAATAAGACATGTTTTCATGAATTTACCTTGAATTTTTGAAGTCTAAGATAGTGAAAATATCCTTTAAAAAAGAAGACTTTTTAAAAAGAAATTTGATCACCACTACTTCATTGCTAGAAAAGAAAGTCTACTGGGCCCATGGCAATGGCCCTGAACCTGGAGTCCCAAGATGCACTCCAGGACAACTATGAACCCTAAAAGTACATGACAAATTCTGATGTATATGCCTTTTTCTTGGGAGTCGTTCTAAAGCATTTATCCAATACTTAAAGAGATCTCTGACACATAAAATATTAAATGTTAATATTTATTGAGTCCTATGTGGCTAGTTCATTTAAAGCATTTTACATGTATAACTCCTATAGTCCTCACAACCACCCAATAAGATAGATATGATATTAAACTAGACTATCAAGAACCAATAGGATATTTAAGCTCAAGATGATAAGAATATAAGCCCAGGGGCGCCTGGGTGGCTCAGTCATTAAGTGTCTGCCTTCAGCTCAGGTCATGATCCCAGGGTCCTGGGACTGAGCCCTGCATCGGGCTCCCTGCTCAGCAGGAAGCCTGCTTCTCCCTCTGCTGCTCCCCCTGCTTGTGTTCCCTCTCTCACTATGTCTCTCTCTGTCAAATAAATAAATAAAATCTTGAAAAAAAAATAAAATAGAAGCAACTGTCCTCATTTAAAAAAAAAAAAATAAGCCTGATAGACAATGGTAAAAAAATCAAGTAATGTCACAACAAACATTTTATACCAATGACTGTTTCTTCGTTCACTTAGCCCCATTACCTTCTCATCTGATCTTCAAGTCACAAACAAATCCTTAGTGAGAAATAAGAATGTGAAATCCAAAAAAAGAAACTGCCATATTAAATATTCAAATTTACCTTGTGGCCCAGGAGATGCCACCTTTGGGCCAGTGATCTCCAGGTTTGCTTGGTAACGCTGTACATTTTCTGCTTGATTCTGTTCTACCTTTTTCCCAGGAGTTTTCTTATGATCTCCTTTGGGTTTCTTTACACGTTTGACCTGGAATGTGATCTGGAAAATGGAGACATGTTGGGGACATATTAGACCAATTACCAAATCCGTAAAGGCTGTGGATATTGGTGGCTTTAAGAGTAACCCGTCCTCGGGGCGCCTGGGTGGCTGAGCTGGTTAAGCTTCCGACAGGATCTCAGGGTTGTGAGATCGAGCTTTGCATGAGGCTTCACACTGAGCGAGGAACCTGCTTAAGATTCTCTCTCTCCCTCTGTCCCTCCCCACCCCACCCCCCTCTTGCACTCTCTTTCTTAAAAGAAAAAAAGAGTAACCAGTCCTGTGCTAGAGCTTAGAGCTGATTCTCTCCTTCCGTTTAATTTTTACAGATCTAAGTGAAAAATGTTTAGTGAAATAAACAAAATAACCTAGCCTTGAAGGGTGTATAGAGGAAACTGAAAATGAAGATGTCTGAACTGGGCAGCTGCAGGCATGCAGGCTTAGAGTGCAGCTCAACAGTCTTCTGCTTCCGCTGCCTCCTGGAAGAGCTAGCAATACAGACAGAAGTAAAGGGAAATGCTTCCTGCAGAACAAGGCCCACGTGGAGACTGACCGGAGGGTGGAGTAAAGTGGTGCCACACCCCCAAGAGAAACATCACACTTTGCACCCCCACCAAGACCTGGGCTACAGTTTGGTATGAACTGACTTGGCAAACTCTCACCCATTCTGTGGCTTCATCATCTTCACTTCTGCAGTCTCCGTAGCAAGAGCTTCTGGCCACTCCATCCTGGGGACCCTTCTTCAGCACCCGTATCCCCTGCAAGTCCAGACGCCGCCCTTTCATCTCCAGGGCTCCCCCAAAGCCATCCAGGGGCCATGCCTGTTGAAATTCGTCCACCAAAGCCAGTATCTCTTCAGACATTTTTGTTTCATCTGAATTCTCCATCTCATCAGAACCATTGCTCTCCTCAACCACTGTACCTGAAATTCGAGTGCCCACATGTCATTAAAAATTACGTAGTACTGTGCTCGCTTCAGCAGCACATATCGTAAAAACTACGTGGTACTCACTCCAGTACTTGAGTGACTCCAACCTTGCTGTTTGAGCAGCTTTGGCTCTGCTTAGAGGAGATTCGATAGCCCACCCATAAAAATGCCACTCATCATCCTCAAAATGCACAACACAACATCCTCCTTGCTGTGTAGCTTTGTCAAAAGCTTGGATAAGGACAACGGTAGCAGCGAGGTGGCAAGCAGGCACTGATTATATCACTGGTGAGCAGGGGGGTGGCTATTTTATAAATGTATTTTTTTTGGAAAAAAAAAAAAAACCCTTGCTTTAGATATAAGACACAAATGGCAAAGATGAAATTTATTATGATGTTATTTATTGAATATGTGGGATTCTTGACGTTTTCTTCAAAAAGCATATGACATACTCATAGCTGCATGTCCAGGCCATACAGTCTGACTGCCTTACCTGAACGATTTGTTTAATGGGAAATTATCCTAATTCTACATTCAGGCTCCTATTTTCACTAATGGCTAGTATAGGAAATAGTGATGGAACAGTGTAATGTTTTCCTAAAATGGTTATCAAGACATTATTTGTTATGTTGCTCAAGTTTCTTATGTAAAGACTTCCATGGATGCTTCCCAGTGCAATGGCCTAGAATAATTCTTTCTCCTGAGAAGTCAGTGTTTCCATTGTTATAAAGGTTACACAATCCTACGGGTTCCCCTCTATGCCTAGATAACTAGAACATTTAGGGCAAAAATTTCTCAGTTTCTTTTCTTTTTTTTTTAGATTTTATTTATTTATTTGAGAGAGCGAGAATGAGAGATAGAGAGCACGAGAGGGAAGAGGGTCAGAGGGAGAAGCAGACTCCCCAGTGAACAGGGAGCCCGAGGCAGGACTCGATCCCGGCACTCCAGGATCATGACCTGAGCCGAAGGCAGCCACTTAACCGACTGAGCCACCCAGGCGCCCCTGAGTTTCTTAATAGAATGCTTTCCTTTCTTAAAAGAAAAAAAACTTTATTACTTAAACTTTTGCTATTTTGAATTAATGGCTGAATCTTATATTGCGTGTTCCATGTAAGTCATCTGCAATCCTTTCTGGAAGTAGATAGGGTACAAAAAGAAATAAAATAGAATGCCTGCTTTTGTAATATGCATCTACTGGACAACCTGAGAGCTCGGGGTTGATTGCTCAGAAAATACCAGTCTACATTATCCTAGTTAAGCTATCCCAATAACCTTCAGTTGGCAATTCTGGCTCGTTCAGTGATTTAGAACATGGTATTACTAAGGCCAAGGTCAGGAATCTCATTTTCGTATTGACCAGACCTATAACCATAGTGAGTTTCATATTGACCAGACCTATAACCACTTTAGAAATGCAGAGTATTAGTCTCTGAGGAGGCGTGGGGTGAGAAAGATGGCTGACCATCAAGGCTTAAAGCAACGTAAAGCTTTGAGCCCTACTCATAGAGTGTCACTCTTGGCTCTGGTGGCATCTCTATCTTCCATCCCACTTTCTATTCCAGAAAGTGGGAAGGTCTGTTGCCAGGCTGGGAGTACCATTAGAAATCTGCTATTCTTTCTTGAAAAAGCTAGAAGGCTCCTCCATTTGTTAACAAGTGACTTTGAAATGTACTGTTGTCCTTTCAAGTAGGTTTCTTTTAGGTTTTTGAACGAATCTGCTGGTTTTTCTTTATTATTATCATTATCATTATTATTAATGAAGTTCTGAGACAAGCATAAAGTAAAACAGGGGTTTGCAAAGGCATTTTCTTTAGGATATTCAGATAAAAATGGTTGGTTATTGCCCAAATTATGTGGCAAATAGTATAAATGTAGGGTTGACAAAGAGTTCTAGTTTTCAGTTTCTATCTTGTTTACTACTATATCTTGTATGTCCAACATTGTACGTGACACTTAAGAGGCACGGTTGTAGAATGAGTTAATGGAACTTGGGAATAATTTGGTTTGTGAGGTTCTTGAGGATCTGCTGCTCCTACCTTTGCCTTGTCCTGCTGATGATTCAAGACTTCATAAACTCTAAGGTTTACCTTGTCATGTGTTAAAGGCAGGCATCATGTCTTTAACATAGTGTCTGGCATACTGGATGATTTACAAATTTCTCAGTAGCTAACTCAAGAAAACACCTGGACAGGGTTCCTATGAGGACCCCAAAAAACAACTTAATTAGAAGAACTGCCTGCCGTCTGACTTGTAGCAACAGAGTTCTAAGTATTCCTCATGTTATTTGAGCTTCCTTGTCTTACGGCCACCATGGGCTTCCCTGCACCTAGTCCTGAGACAGGAAAGGGTTTTTGATAGACTTGGCTGCAGCCAAGAGTATGGGCTTAAAGAAAAGTGGCTTTTGGCCAAAGGTAGACTGCAGGTAACTGATTTCCCAGTGTACAGTTAGAGTTGCATATGGACGCTGTGTTTGGAAGCCTTATTTCCATTCATTAACTACTACTATTTAGAAAGCATTCTAAATAAATAAAGTTGTTCAGTTGCAAAGAATTCTGCAAGCCCAGTTCCAAAGGTTAATGCTCCCCTACATCCAGACCATATGGTAATATATATATATATATATATATCATTACTGAAAAGTTCTTAGAGAAAGGGCCTTTCATTGACGGAAACTGGTATTCCAATCAAGACAAACTACGAAACTTGTTGTAGGCTTTTGCGGCTGGCAGCCACTAGTCCTTTCAAAGGCTGTAGGGGTTGGGGGAGTAGCAATTCCTAAAGAACAACACTAAATAAAGGTGAGGAATGGGGAGATAATAAATGAGCTATGAGTTAGAAACAATAAACCAATCTTTATTTATTTAGAACCTACTATGTGCCTATCTCCACGCTATGAGCCATATAGGTGGGAACAAAAAGAATCTGACTTTGAGGAATTAAGTACAGTTCAACAACACGGGGGTTGGGGCGCTGACACCTGCACAGTTAAAAATCCATGTATAGCTTTTGTTTCTCCAAAAACTTACCTACTAATAGCCCGCTGTTGACCGGAAGCCTTACCGATAATATAAAACAGTCAATTAACACATATTTTATATGCTATAGGTATTATATATTTTTATAATAAAGCGAGCTAAAAATTGTTCCTAGGAACATAAGAGAAGATAAAGTACTATATGGTATTTATATAAACAAAATCTGCATATAAGTGGATGTGTGCAGTTCAAACCTGTATTGTTCAAGGATCAACTGTATAATCAAGTTGGAGACACAAAACTATATAAACAATCAGAGAACAATTACATTTAAATACTTTTTTTCTAGAGGAAAAGCATAATTGAGTGTGGTCACAACATGCTTCCTAGAGGAAGGCAGACTACTGAGGCAGGATTTAGACAGGCAGGCAGAGGGCCAGGGAGGGCACTCCTGAGAGGGAGGAGCTTGATTGTATATACTCTCACACCCATATGTACACATACTGATGCAGGTAAGGAAGGCAATACGTGAAGGCACTACTAATTTCACATGAACTAGAACAAAGAATGTATATAGATGATATCAGCAAACAAGATACTTAGGGAAGGTGGGTGACATTGAGGATGTCTGGGAAAGTTGGGAGGAAGATTCATGTTCAAGGGAGCCTCCTGTTTGCTAAGCAGAAGAATAACAAGAAGAGAGCCATAATGTGGCATATAAATGCCAGAGTGGTAAATCAGCTGGCATACTCGGGGGTGGAGAAGGAAGACAGAGGACAGAGACCAGTTAGAAAGGTATTTCGACAATCTCTATATAAAGTTGTTTAAAGAGAAGCTGGCTTAGGGTGAGAACTATAAAAGGGGAATTTTGAAAAGGGAGGAGAAAGAGGTACATGAAGAAATTTCAGTGGAGAAAAATAGAATTTGGTGGTTAAATGGATACAATGACAAAGAATAGGGTAAGTTCAAAGATAATTTCAAGATTTCAAAGCCTAATGTGAAACAGGGACCTTTTTACGAAATGGAGTTTTAGAATCTGTGAAAATGAAAACAATGCTATCTACAAAGACTATGGAATTAGGAGAGGGCACTTACCATGTTAGGATTTCAGACACTTATTAATTCATTTAAGCATTTGTTGCCTGTGTTCACAAATGTGCTGAGGGCTTGTAATAGAACCACTCATGGACCTATGGTCTGGGTTAGAATGGACGGAGGAACATATCTCCAGACACTGTCTAATTCTGGAAATACAGAATTCAGGTTTGGAGAGAGGTCCGGACTATAGCAGGATCACAGAAGGTTTTAAATTATACTTGAAGCAAGAAGAAAAAGTAAAATATTAGGATTGCTGCTTGTGGGACCAATGGTATAATATAAACTAAAAACAGAGAAACTGAGATCCCATATCTCTATTATTTTCTTTATCTTCTTTAACATGTACCATTTTCACACTGGAAAAAGGAGAATAAATATTATGAAGTAAAGAGACTGTGAGCACCCACAGTGAGGCTTAGATGAGTTCGGGTTTTTTCACTTGGATGAATACTCTCTCAGGATACTAGGAAAGCTTAGTTGAGTTTGAGCCATGTCAGATAATCTGTCAAGAATCACAGGGACTCGGAGAAGTGTTGAGAGACGAAGAGAGGTGTATGTTGTCCTCAAAAAGAAAAAAAAAAAAAGTAGAAGAAGAAGAAGGGGAGGAGGAAGGAGAAGGAAAAGAAGTCCAACATAATCTTGCAATGTTCCAGACACATCTGAAGATTCATCGGTAAGTCTGGCACCGCAGTTTAAGAGATTTTCAAAGCAGAGCACATTGGTAGAAACATGACTTGGTGAAAGTGCCCAAAATCATATTAAATGAAGGACTGAAGATACCAAAATGACCCCGTGGAAGGAACAGTAGCTGACATAGTACACACAAAAAAATCAGGCTTGAAAAATATTTACTAGATTTTTTCTTCTTATTTTTATTTTTTTATTTTTTTTATTTTTTAAAGATTTTATTTATTTATTTGA